TTTCTCCTCGACTCTTTCTGGAGCCTTCTGATGTGCCTCTTCCTAAATCCACTTTTTGGGCTGATGCAAAGGAGGTGAACAGTTGTGGGGTAGCTGAGGAATTTGTTCTCTAACCTCTAGAGCAGTATTTCTCAACCTCAGTCTTAGCAACTTTAAGATGTCAGCGGGGAATTTTGGGGGTTGCTAAGGTTGGAGAACACTGCTCTAGAGGGAGATTTGAATGGAGAGAGTTAGGAAATATACATTACCCACCTGGTTTCTCCTTCTTGTTACTTAAAATGGGGTGTAAAGGAAACCGCAAGGGCAATGTATATGTTATACAGGTAGTTCTCACTTAACAACCATTTGTTTAGCGACCGTTAAAGTTACGACAGCACTGAACAAAGGGACTTAAAACTGGTCCTCACACTTACGACTATCACAATGTCCCCATGGTCACGTGATCGCGATCTGGGTGCTTGGTAACCAGCTCGCGCTTACAGTGGTTGCAGTGTCCTGAGGTCACATGATTGCCATTTGCAACCTTCCCAGCTGGCTTCCAGCAAGCAAAATCAATAGGGAACTGCATGATTTGTTTAACAACCACGTGATTTACTTAACGACTATGGTGATTCACTTAACAGTGCTTTAATAAACATAGGGACAAATTAGTTCTAAATAGAAAATAGATCAGTTACTGGAATTCTTGTAACCCCACCCCGTTCGTCTCAATAAATCTTGCTAAGGAGAACTCTGTGAAAACCATGCATGGCAAAAATCACTCTGTTTTAGGCATTTGTCAAAGAGCCTGCTAGCACTGATGGGAAAGGCTGCCTGGAGTAAACATATACTATGTTTTTAAAATAAATGACTTAAATTCTTGATAAAAGCTTCCTTGGGTTATTTCAGTTGCTTGGGAAGAAATCTTTTTCAGCAATACAAGAGTATGCCACTAGGAGTATTAGCATTCTGTACACGTAATTTGTCTCTGACCTGGTTCACATAACATATAAGCTATGGTTATATTGTGGTTTATTGGATAAGCCACAATGGCTGGGTTTGCATAACATCCAAGGGAGAGAAGTTTTTTTAGAGGAAAAGGGGCTTGTCTGTTGAGACTCTACTGGGGGGCCATGAGTTGCCTTCACAGCTTCATAAAATCACCATATACAGTAGGTAGTCCTTGACTTATGACCATTCATTTAGCGACCATTTGAAGTTACAACAGCACTGAAAAAAGTGATGACTGGTCCTTGCACTTATGACCGTTGCAACATCCCTGCAGTCATGTGATTGTGATTTGGGTGCTTGGCAACCGTCGTGCATTTACAATGGTTGCAGTGTCTCATGGTCGCATGATTGCCATTTGCGACCTTCCCAGCCAGCTTCTGACAAGCAAAGTCAATGGGGAAGCTGCCAGGGAAGGTCACAAGTCATGGTCATGTGATGTCTCACTTAACAACCATGGCAAAAAAGGTTGTAAAATCAGATGCGTGATGCCTCACTTAACGACTGCACTGCTTAATGATGAATTTTCCAGTTCCTATTGTGTAAGTCAAGGACTACCTGGAAGTTTCTTTCACCCATTTTTTTAATCAAGGGATTATTATATTGCACTTCTATATTCTTATTCATGAATAACGTAGGGAATCTTTGAGATGATGGATAACTGGACAAAGTGCTATATTCTTCCTTGCTTACTCATTGATCCCAATACACCCAAACTCATTTCACGTGCAGGGGGTGTCGATCAATCTGGAGCTGTGGTGTCCTTTCTGAGCTGAGTGATTTTTTGAGCAAATGCTGTTTCTTGATATACTGTCGCCAAAGGACTGTAAGCCCAATATCAAATAAATAAAACTTGCACTCTCATTCAGAACTTTTAGGCTGAATTTTTGCTGGGTCATCGCCAGTCTCATTTTAATTAGTCGGCTGCATAAAAGGAGAATCTCTGCCTGGGCCACAGCACAGGAAATTTTACAGGGGATATTAAAGGAAAAAAGCCTGAACCATATGTGTCATTGCACTGGCCACGGGGACCTCTTCCATCCTTACCAAGAGGAGCACTAACCTTCCCTCATTTCACACATGCATGAATAAACATCTGATGAAGTGGGCTTTATGCTGCGTGATAAAGTGTGTTAGTCGGAAAAGGTGCAACCGGACTTCTGATTTTTTGCTAGCATAGATTAACATGACTCTCCTCCTAACCAAGTCTTCCTTTGGAGTTAATTTACAATTTCAATAAACCGAAGTGCTCCTGAGAAGGCATTGCTAATCTGCTTAAGGATTTGGCGTATCCTATATTCAAGAGTAAACACACGAGATAAAACGGTGCAAAACCAGAACCATTTTTTTCGTATGAACCCAGTTTTCAAAGACATCTTGACAAAGTGACCTCAAGTAGGCACCAAGACAAGATTTATCTTAAATACAAAGATTTATAGGCAGTCTTTTGTCTCCAAAAGGGGGCCACAAAATAGTTTACAACCATTATATAAAAGAAATAAACATCTTAAAAGCAGTTACTTAGAAACCAGCATAAAAAGGCTGGGGAAAAAAACAGAATCCTGAAAAGCTTTGTAAAGTAAATCTCTTGGCTTGCTCACTTAAATTCCCTGAAAGAGCCCAGCCAAACTTCCCGAGCTGATCGAATCCCTGAAAAAGGAGCTTACTGGCATGAAATATTTAATCTTCTAGCTGAAATGAAAATATGTTTTTGCATCTTACTTTTATTGAATCTGGTATAGAGGAAAGTACAGACCTGTGTGCAAAAGGCTACGTTCCAAAAAGTGAGCAGGGTCAGAATGACATTATATTATATGTCCACTTACTATGTTTGCCCTGCAATGGTATAATTTTTCCTCTTCTCACGGTAAAAACCATGACTTGGCTCCAAATGTTGGAGACACTCTAGGACACACCCGAAACCTTGGGAGAGGACTCCAGGCTGTCTCTTTGTGACATTGGTTTGAGGGATAGAGACACACAGTTCTGGCTTCATCAATTAATTCGGGAACCACTTTTAAAAATGTGGTCAATCATTTGGCTAGTCACTTTTTAAACCCTTTCTTTTATCTTTTAGGTATGTCCAGTGCTGCATTTGCATAGGAAAGGGCAGGCAGATGTTCTAACATTGTTGAGGTCTAGCAAGCTGTGCAGGAGAATTTAATTGTTTAAAATATTTATAATTCTAAAGTTATCTGTAAGCTGGCTGGGCAGGTTTCAGAAACACTTTGGAAGAAGTGTTTTGGTCCCTGTGCAAGCATAGACCCTCAGCTCAGCTCTCCATTAACCTCAAAAAAGAGGCAGCTGCTTTAAAGAGGCAGCTCTTAAAATAGCAACTCCTTTCTTTTCAGATGTGCAAAAAAGCCTTTAAAAAGATGGGCTGTTACCAAAGAGGAGAGAGGGGCATTTGTATGAGGTTCCAAACGCTTGTTCCAAATGATTTCTAAAGCCATGGAATGAATTCAACTTTTTATCCTAAACCAGTGTTTTTCAACCCCAGCAACTTTAAGATGTGTGGACTTCAATTCCCAGAATTCCCCAGCCAGCATGCCCTAACCCTTTCATTATTTAGGATAATTGGTAAATAACATACATTGGCTTAGGGAAAAAAGAGTTGCATGAAAATCCAGAGTTAGGTAAGCTACTTATACTTGGGGGCCTTGTATAGGAGGTTGAATTTTTGTTATTAAATTCAATTTGGCACAGCAGTTAATCCCACACTCGACCCTGAAACCTTAATAATTCCGCCCCCCCATTCTAATCAGACTGTGTTGCCTGTACAGTACTTCTCCTTATTTATATGACCGTCTTTTTGAAAATATGCTTTGGGGGATATTTTTTCCTCTTCACAAACATGCTCCTCCAAGCGCTAATTAATGTGAGTTTTACCAGATGCTGAGCTTTGGAGAGAGAAATGGCACAAAGTAGGGCTTAAGCAATTTGCTCTGTCTCCTTCCTCAACGCTTCATGCCGCAACTACAGTGGTACCTCGGGTTACGAACGCTCTGTTAACAAACTTTTTGGGTTACGACCATCTCCGGCCACAAAAATTTACCTCGGTTTGCGAACTCCGCCTCAGGGTACGAACAGGATACGCGGCCATTTTCCCTCCCGTGACACAGTCCACGGCCATTTTTCCGCCCCTGACACGTAGTCCACGGCCATTTTTCCGCCCCTGACACGTGGTCCGCGGCCATTTTTCCGCCCCTGACACGTGGTCCGCGGCCATTTTTCCGCCCCTGA